CCCCAAAACCCCAAAACCCCAAAACCCCAAAACCCCTAAAAGCATGGGAATATTGAAAATGCATGAAAATTGTGTTATCTAGATCTTTTTTGTGAGAAAGCACTGTAAGCATTCCTTACAGAGAGTTGGTTTCTCTTAAGCCTCATTTCCTTTGTTTTGTTCCTCAAAGTAACACCCTAAGGGATTATTAGGTTCCGTACCTTAGTATTCCGTCTTCTCTTAAATGTTGTCAATGGCTTCTCAAGTGGCTCTCTACGTGAACCTCTGCTAGTGTAGATCTCTCTTGGAGTGGGCCTCTTCAAATCTGTCTTCATGGTAGATCACATTGTCAAGTAGTCACTAGGAGTTAGACATAGCTTACCTTTTGAGTGAGGGTCTCTTCTTTAGAATTGCCTTTATTTTTTTAGCCTCTTTAGTCATCTTAGGAGAGCTAGGGATAGCCAAAGTTCCAGATATATTCCTTCGCATTATTTGTGGAAGCTGGGGATAGTTTGTACTTGGGTGGTGCTTGAATGTAGGAGCTGTAGGAGCATTTTCCTTAATGTTTCCTTTTGCAAAATATTTAGGTATCCTTGCTTTTGATCTACTCAAGAGGATTCTTGCGGTTGAGCATTTCTTCATCACCTTCACATGAGTTTTGGCCTCTGTATCTTTTCCAGATGCATCTCTGTTGGATCTCTTCGAAAGAGGCTTCTGACTTTCCTGGTGCATCCTAGGTGTAAAATCGTTATTTCCCAAGAGTATTATTCTTATTATTCACAGATGCTTTATTTAACTTTGTTGATAAATTTACTTGTGTTCGAGTCTAAAGATGAAGAATACTTAACATTTAAAATTAATTTTGCCAACATCCTTCTTCTCAGCCCCTGCTCGTTCAGGAGAAACCTGTCTGGAACTTTTATCGTCAAAAGAAGTGTTCTCGAGAGTGTACATCTGGCTATCTATCTTATTCAACTGGTGCTGCAGGTCGTTATCATTGAGGCTATCTATTGGGTCAAACTTTCCAAAATACCTATTTTGAGTTCATCTTTGTATCAATTCAGAGTTTTATTGAACACCATTACATCTGATATATCCTTGATATAGTTATATCACTGATCACAGAGGAGCACACTCTTGTACAGCCAATTCGGGTCATTCATCTTCTTCTGATATGCTTCAAAGTTGATATTTTTGTACAGAAAATGTAGTATTTTCGGTACTTTGGGCTTTGAATTCTCCTCATTTTGGCTGAGATCTTGGTTTTCTAAACATGAATGAGAGCAATACCTTTCTCTTCTTCCTCGGTTTGAGACTCTATTATTTTTGACAAATCTTTGTTTGCTGAGCTAGGACACTCAAAAATCTGGTGAATTGGAAGATTTTCTCTAATAGTTCTCCCGTCATCAAAAAGACTTCTTTTTGGCATCGAAATATAGTATTCATAAATATCGAGAAGGAATTTGAGCGTAAATTCATAAGATCCGGACTTTTCAGTGAATCTTTTGCAGAACGGGCATTCAATTTGAGTGCTAATACCTTTCTTTATTCCTGATTGGGTTGATGGAAAGTCTGACTCATCATCATTTTCTGTTTTTCTGGATAATAAATCTTCCTTTGCACTCTCAGGGATGGATAGAATGATATCTTTGTATCCAGTACAGATTCTGATGAAGGGTTCAACCTTGAAATTATTTGCAAAAAGAAGGACAAGTTCATCATCCGTGTCAATTTTGAAATAAAAATTAGCATGCTTGAGAGTAGCTCCATTTGAAGTAAGCTGATCTGCTATAAATTTGCATGCAACATTGATATCAGTGAGCAGCATCTTAGAAACGACGCTCTGAGACTTGGACATTTCTGTAGGACCTTCATAAGTAACTACCTTCTCGTAAGGAGTGCATCTACTTACTAAAAAGAGTCTGATTTACCCTTTTCTCTACCATATTTATAGTTGGAGTCCAGTCGCATCGAATAACTTCGTTATATTTCCCTTTTCAGACTGGAAACTTCTGAAGAATCTCTAGATGAAGTTTGTCTTCATTAAAATAAATAAAATCTTTGAACTCTTTCTTGTGCAAGTACTCTAAGGTCACCTTTGAAGTGACTTTTGTAGTGCTAACACGGTAAGCAGTAGCCACCACATCGCTCATAAGCTTCTTGGAAAAAGTTTCATGCACATGTTCATGGGTGAGCTTAGTATTTGTCTTATTTTAGAATAAAACCTTCCTTTGAAGTGAAGTACCAAGCATAAGGCCTGCAAATTTTGTAAATCACGGTATCGGGAATTTTAAAATTATACTTTATAACAGGTTTCCCTGCTTCCTTGTGCCAAAGATTATGTAGGAGCCATTCCATCTCACTTGCAATCATAGCATCTCACAAAGAGTAAGAATCAGGACTTGATGTAGGCATGGTTTTCCTCTTTGGCTATATTCCCATCAAAGCCGCTCCAAAAAGCACATAAAAAAGGTGCTGCCCAAACAATGGCAAATAACTTACAGAGCGAACTCTTGGCGATGCTGTTGATCTCTGTTTCATGTTAGGTTTGAATTTAATTCAATTTTTATTTTCAAATAAGGGGTTTTGGGGTTTTGGGGTTTTGGGG